CTTGCTACGTTTTCCTATTTCTTCCGAAGTTCGTTAACTTTTATCTCGAGCGACATAAAACAAAAAGTCGAATAAGAAAAAAAAAAAAACAAAATGTAAAAAATAGCAAATAGCAAGAAACAGAAAACAAAAAGCACATTGTAGAATAACCATAATGCACAATAGATACGTATCTACCATGGGCAAAGTTAAAATGAGAATAAGTTTCCAAATAAGTATGCTAAAAAAACATGTCTCAAAGATTCTTTAAAAGTTCAAGACATCTAAGATATTGAGAAATATCTTAAAAATTTCTTTAAAAAGAATGATTTTGGTATGTTCTGAAATGTATGATAATCTTGAAAACCTGTTTACCCTTGAAGGCTCGTTTCTTTGTCTTTTTCTAATTCTGAAGATAAGAAAAAGACGAAGAGTAAGTTCAACCGAGATTTAATCTATATTGGTGGAAATGGGCATAAAAAAGTGTGAACTACAGATTTTTTAGTACTATCAATACATTTCGGAATGTACGCGTGTTTGCAAAACGATATCTATTTATCTATACAGAATAAGTAAAAACATTATTTAAGACAATTTTTGAATCTGTCGCATTATCACAAAGTAATGAATAAATATTTTATCCACGGCAAAGCAAAAAATCTTGTGGTTTTTCCGTACGACAATAGCATTTCCTCGTTTAGTGCTCTGTTGTAGCAAAAGGGTTAATTTTCTAGATTATTTGGGCCTTAAAATCTTAGTTTATCAAAATGTAGTATAATTTTAATCAGAAAAGTTTTATGCGAAGAATACTGTATTGCTTTAAGTCTATAAATATAAATTAACAAATTTTACGTCTAAGTCAGCCGTCAACGATTTTCTTTTCATAAGATAAAAAAATTCACAAATAAATCTCGCATTTCTCATATAAAGAACATTGTGTGTATCACAATAATATATTCTTTATATATAAAATGTCGCAATTATATGACGACTTTACTTAAACTATATCACGGTTTTCTCTTCAGAAATCAAGACATGTCGTGTGTCATGGTTGACAATACAGCAACAAGTAAAACAATTTAGTGGAAGAATAGTAACCAAGGGGAAGTGTGATTGCACACGTAAAATAGGCCGAATGCGAATTTGTCCAATTACCCATTCGATATATGTTTAAGAGGACCGAGACTTAATATGGAGGTAGCACCAAGCGCACCCAGATTGCAACTGCTTGTATTTCTCGCACCGTCTATTGTAATTATTGGTAAGCCAAAATAACCACCGGTTTGAGCACTTAACTGCGACAAGGGTATGTAATTTTGAATGCCCAAATTCGCCAAACGATTTAAGACATGTGGCGACTTTAAATCCACGACAGGCAAAGCCAATTCCGTACCTCCGTTTTGTGCCACGGTATCAACTTCCTTGTGGTAAGTCTGTTTGTGCGTTGTCAATGCCTGAACTGTGGGATATTGAGCTGGACAAAGGTTACACCTTAAAAAGAAAGGGATCGATCAGTTCTATTCTCATATATGTTACTATTTAAAGAAAAAAAAAACTCACAAGCGAGGTAATTATAACTCACCTGTGAAGCAATTTGCTGGTCGTTCGATGAGTTGCCATATGCTGCGTCAATATATCTTGATTTTGAAAATTCTTATCACATACCTGACACGTTAATAATGCTCTAGAAAAGATAAATATTGTGTCTTATTGTGTTTTACGATTGTTGATTAGTAAATCTAATGGGACAATGGTGTAAGAATAACATGTAAGCGATGATATAGACAATTCTCACCTCGGCGGTCGACCACGTCTAACTACTGGCATCTGCGGTGGAGTATCCTGCGTTAGATCCACTGTTGGTGGTCTTGGAGGTCGCTCGACTTGGTCATTGATTGGCGATTTGTTTTGCTTATTTTGTGGAACAGCAAACTGCCCTTCTTGTTGCTTTCTTTGTGAACTAGTTGGTATGATAGAAATAGCAGAATTCAGATTGAGCGCTGTAACATTTAAAGGCTGCTGTGAAGGTGATGGCCTCTGCTGCTGCTGGGAAGGTATTTGCTGTTTGTTTTGTTCACTTGTCTTATTTTTATTTGCAGCTGGAGTAACGGTTATACCTCGAGCCGCGAGGACATTCGCCACCGCCTTGGCATCGGATTTCTTTCCTCCCGGGTTCGACGTGTTCTGGACTTGAGCTGGGATGGAACCTTCAGATTAGTAAAGACAATGCTATTTTACTGTAATGCACCCCTTCTGCGAATATAGTAATATAACTATTTTCTTTGAAAGATCTATATTTTTTATATATAACTGCAGCATACATATGCAACAAAATAAAATAAATGGAAAGTAAATAGCAGACGAAGCATTATCTCATTAAAACAAAATATCAAAATTAGCTTCAGCAGAAATAACAGCAACTGCCGTAAGAATTTTCAATCGATTGGTTTATGCGTCGTCTACAATGAACAATAGCAGTAAAGGCTCGACGTCAAATCAATGTTAATTTAACATCACTTGACATTAATTCGATATTGATCGATCAATCACTTGTAGCTGGGGATGTAATAGGGCGTAGAGTAAGTCCGTAAGCGAAATTGTTGAAATTTATTTCGCTTACGGACTTACTCTACGCTCTGTTACATCCCCAGCTACAAGCGATTGATCGATCAATATCGAATTAACGTTGAGCGACGTTGAGTCAGCATCGATTTGACATTGATCGATCCACCATTTCTGGCTAGGTTGAAAAACCAGCTTACTCCCGACATGTCTACAGCCTCTGTCTCTGTCACTGTTCATTGTAGACGATACTTAATATATTTAGATATAGTGAGAAACTAAGGATAAGAACCAATCATATTAAAAAATTTTACAATAGTTGCAACGCTGTCTTTTCTACTAAACGCAATCATTGCAAAAATAAATTGTAGCTATTTGGTTTGCATAAAAGCAACTGAAAAAATTATTAGAAATCATAGAAATCAAATTTCATAGAAGAGGCACTTTACACAGGCGCATAAAAAAATGTAAGCAGCAAGAAAACTTGAAACAATTGATTTCTTATTCTTATGACATGTTATAAACCTACCAGGTTGCCGAACACTTAAAGTGATTGAATCTGTGAGATGTATCGTAGAATCATTTCTAGTTTGTTGTGTGGTAGCTCCTTGAACATTTTGAATAACAGGTAGTCCGTCATTTCTTTTCTGTTGAGCTATAACATGGCAGTCTGCGTCTTCATTTCTATCAGGTAATAGAACATCCATTCGCCTCTGTTTTGCAGAAACGTTATTTTGTTGCGTTATAGGTTGTTGCAAAGGCCTTTTCATGCGCTGACGAGGAACTGGACCCGTGGTTTGTGGTAACCTCGGTACCCTGAAAGTTGAAGGTACTATCTAATGAAAATGCTCGCGTCTGTATGCAAGGTCTACGCTTACCTGCTGTTTTGAACAACAGATGCCGACGGATACCGTCCCCGTGGAACTTGTTGGGGTATTTGGGGATGCATTTGCGGAGGAGGTGCAGGTATTTGAGGATATGGACCCGGAGGATATTGATACAAATGCGCCATATGGGGTGGATAATGTATTCCTTGTGGTCCAGGTACTCTATACAATGGTGGTCGTCCTGGTGGTTGTACAAAATAATTTGGTGCAGGTATCATTGTGTTGGCTCCTGGAGGAAGACTAGGGGGCATTTGCGTCTGTGGAAGAGGCATACGCTGCACTTGCTGGGCCAGTTGCTGTACAGGTGGTGGTAGTTGTTCAAAGTTTACCGGTGATATTTGCATTTGTTGGCCAGTAGCACCGCCTGTTGCCGCTGCTGCCACCGCCGCATTAAATGTCGGTGAATGCCTTTGATGTGGTGACGTTAAGGGTGATGTCCTACTGAGTGGATGCGAACCATTCGTTGACGATACCTCTACGGACGGGGCAGAAACGGCATGAGGCGAATGTGTGGCTTGGCTCAAGTGTGATGTATTTGTGTTCGACGGCAAATGATGAGGCGACAGTTGGCTCACGTTCGGCGAGAGTGGGGTACCATGTACCTGTGCCCGATGTATCGATACCTCCACCATAGAGTGGAAGATGAGATTGGTGCATTCTGGTATATTACATTGATAATGACCGGCTTTACTACGGTGTTCATCTAGATGGGCAATGTCTTTGAATTTTTCATTACAAACTCGACATGTGTTGACAGTCTCCGCTAATTTCTCAAGGGGCACGTACTCTGCCGTTTCGCTAGATGACATATTGTTTGACAACGACACCTCATTTGGATTGCGCCTTTGATGTTCAATGAGAAAGCTTTGCAAAATCGATCCAGCATTATCCATGTTAGCATCGCTGCAAGTATCCCCCTGTTGTTCATTATCTTCCTTATTGAAGTCTTCATTGCTCTTATTTGATAAATCAGATAGTTGATTCCAGTTGAAATTTTGTGTTTGCGATGCATCAGTCGATTCTCTGTTCTTATCTTCATTATTGCATACCGGAGCGCGTTCAATTGCATGATTAGAAAATGTGAAAGACTTTGGATTAATGCTGATGGAAGGATTCTGTTCAAGATTATGTATTATATTAGATCCACTTCTGTCTTCTTCTTCTTCTACTGACGAATTGTCAATTAATTGACTAGCCGATCTGGAACTATAAAGAAACTAAGTTTAGACTACTAGTTTGATTTAAACGTTCACACTTTGTAAGTTTCTTTCTGTCTTTATTAGTCATTACATAAAAAAAAATATTATGATCAAAAAATCTGATGGTTACAGCATAAAAATTTGTATAAACAGAGTGAATGTGAAAGCTATCACAAGTTGAAAATTTACTATTAAGAAAGCTTTACAATAATCTAAACAAAGTTTCACGCTTTTTCTTTGATTCTATCCTGACATTTTCATCTTAAATCATATATACATTATAACATTTTTATCATTCAGTCATACAGTACATAAATTTTGAAATTTATAATTTAATAATTTTAGTATAATAACTGATAACAGAGGAATAACTATTCTTTCTTATTTTCTTTTTATTTCTGTTCCTTTTAAGCTACTCTAAAATAACAATTTCTTAATTATGTTATAGTAATAAATGAGCAACGTAATGATAATCTGATAATAACAATAATGTAATATTTATTAATGTCCAATATTATAATCCATGAACTTACCTTGATTGTTCACCGAGTTTTTTCAAGTTTTCAATAGTTTCTCTACATGTCGCTTCCAAAGCGTCCGTATCCTCATGATCTTCAGATTCTGAAAGTCTTTTTTCAGAACTGTCACAGTTATCGGTATTTGGTGTATCATCGACATTTTGATCATCCTTCTCAACTGGATTTGCCATATCACTCCCTACATCAGAGTCGCTCTCATTAATATCTGTGGACGGTCTTTCATTATCTTCCAGAGGATTTTGATGGTCGGTGTCCAACTTGACATTGTCGTAATCATCCTACAAAGAGAACACAAACAGAAAATAATAAAAAAATTCTTCAAACTTGACATCAGACAGTCTGTAAAGACTCACTTGTTGGTCCACCATCACGTTTTCGAAAGGTTCGTTGATAGAGTTCTCCGCTGCCTTATCAACTCGTGGATCATTTTCCTTAGCACCTGCCACGTCTCTCTGTTGATAGTACTGAATAACAGGATAACAGTTATTGTTCACTACAGTGAAATCTTCCGATTCCGAGGACTTCTTTTTTAAGGTAAGCTTCAAGGATTCGGCGGCTACGTTTTGTTTCTTCAGGGTTAACTTCAACAAACCGGTCTTCTCAGGATCCAGCCAGTACGTTTCTTTTTTCACCTTCACCACTTTCGGATTCGCTACCCTCTTGAGGACAATACGGAGCTTCCTCAAATGAGTGTTGATGTGGACACGCAGCGGTTTCTTCGAGGTAAAACGCTCACCGCAAATGTCGCAATCCAGAAGCAGGTGCTGATCGTTCAAGCTGTCGTTCGACGAGTTGGGAGCGTCCTCGCTAACGTCTGAAACAGAACGCATGAGGTCCCGGTCACTATATCTTCTCTGACGAGAAGGTTACATCTTCCCGTGGCGTATTCGCGCCTGTATATTCATTACACCGCGTGCACATACATCGTTCGCGCTCACGTATACGTCAGAAAGTTTGTTGGTGCGCAGAAGTTACATCGTTTCTGCGAACGGAGTAGGGAGAGAGAGTGAGAAAGAGACAAACGCATGGAAAAAACAGAAGAGAGAGAGAGAGAGAAAGAGAGAGTGGATTCAAGCAACAAACGTACCCGAGGTGGCACGTCACTAAAGAAATCTACCCCTAAATGGTCACTCTGGTCACAAAACGTCATCGGTGAGCCACTTGCGATTTATCGTTCTTTTCTTCGTCAACGTTAAACTAAAACCAGGCGTTCCTTCGCCGAGGTACACTGAGGTTCTGCTTCGACTTGACGCGGTTATACGCGCGTTCACGTAGTTAACACCACGTCCTACGCAGAATGTGGGGGAGACGCGGTTCACGCAGATTATGTATATACCGGTTGCGTACGTATATATATATTTATTTACATGGAGAGGTCGCGTAAACAAATCGACGCGCGCGATTTATACGCGCGGCAGGAATCGGCGGCACGGTACTCGCCACTATTCGCGCAAAATGGCTGACGCCGAAGAATAATTGCTACTCTCGACCGAGAATTGAAAACACGACTCGCCAATCGATACGCGGCTAAAGCGCGCGCCGCATTGGCCGCTTTCGTATCGGCGCGCGATTTCCCGCCACCGATTGGTCGGTCCGGCGACGCGGCGACGTCTATCACGCCCTCGACGCCGAGCTGCGGCGAGTTCCAAAAGCACTCCGGAAAAGTGCTCGTGGAAACTCGGAACACACTTCAATGTCTCCAATTCCGATTTCCCTCGCCGACCGAATTCTGCGAACGACCGAGTTTTCAACCTTTCAACTGTAAATCGTCAATCGATCGCTCATCCTAAGATTCGAGGGAGAACACAAAGGAACGAAGATGAAGGAACTTCAAGTTCGTCCGAGGTACAAAAGAACGGGTTTTGCGTGTTCATTCTCTAAAGAAAACACACACAAAAAAAAAAAGAAAAACAAGAAGACTTCGGGACGCGAACGAAAATGCTAAGATCTGTTTTCTGTGGCTGAACCAGTGTACACTTTTGGAATTTAAATAGGTATATGTTTGATATTTGTCGAAAAGCGAGAAAGAGACTTTTAGACCTACAATCTAGTGCAGGAACAGAAAACAGACCACTAGTAAACAACTGAGGAACGCTCATGTTGCTTCGAAACTTAAGGAAATTTGGGATAGCGGAAAATAAGAGACGACGCACACTTAAGTAATCCGTTAACGCGAAAGAGTGCGACGGACGAGCGGCGGATGTCTCGTTGCTCGGCAACGTCGTCTTCGGCGAGGTGAGCGAGAGAATCTGTTCTCTGTCGACGAGGAGTAAAAGCGGAGTTGCGATGAAACGTGTTCGTCATGGAAATTTATTGCGCAATACGATTATGCGCGCCCTTCTTGCCGCGTGTTTACGAATTCCTAACCTATACGGTCGACGCCGAAACGACCGGCGTTTTACTCGAGTAACTTTCGCACACGTTCCCGTCAAATGAAGATTTATAAAAGTTCGAATACGACGCTAATGCTCGTTAATATGTATAAATGCACCGAGTCATATACGTAACAATATTTATGTTACAATATATAGAAATGAATTTATCAGAGATGTATACATCATAAATGTATATTAAGATATTAATCTTGATTTAAAGAAATAAGAGACAATAAAATGCGAAAGAAACAAAAAAAATGTTGCTGAAAAGCGCTCGAATACTTGCACAACGAGATCAGACGCTGTAGCTGTTGATAGTTGTAATTCATAATTATTTATTGGATCGTGTCTTTTATAATACTTTATAACCACTTTATAACATTTAGAAGGAAATACATATAACACGAGATGATAATAGGAGATACATAGAACTTCTTTGTGCAAAACAATAGAAACGGGGATACATTGCTAATCCGACAGTTATAAAAGTTTATCACAAAATTATAATAGTTCGCAAAATAACACAGAGTAATATAGAGTAATACTCATGAATATTATAAAGTATAATACCATCAAAAAATCATGAAAAGAGAATGTTGATTAGAAACTGAGGGAAAATAATTTTTTTTCTTTTCATAAAATAAAGAGAAATATCAAGACAATTGTAATATCCATATACACATTTATTAGTACATCTATAAGATAAGGTAGATAAATTGTTTCTCATCGTAGATTTTCATTATTAAAAACGTAGAATGAATATCAGGAGGATTCATCTCCAGATAAGAAGCAGAAGCAAAGTTAAAAACAGGAAGTATATATAATACATAAAGCTTAAGTTCACTTTAATGGAAAAGATAAATTTTGCAAAAAGAATAACAGTGATAGTAACATGATTAAAAAATTCACTATTACAGATAATTTTGATATGTTAAATATGAAATTTTCAATATTTAAATTGAGCAGTAATGAATTCATTT